TAATGGCCAGAGATGTTGAACAGCAAAAGAATCCATCAGTAGCATGAAGAGACAGCCTACAGAATGGGAAAATTTTTTGCTAGCTAATCCTCAGAGGACTAACATCTACAATATACAAAGAATGAAAAAAATTAAACCACCTAAAATTAAAGACCCAGTAAAGAAATAGGCAAGAGAAGTAAACAGACACTTCACAGAGGAATACAAATGCTCAACGAATAAATGAAAAATTCTTAATCTTTTCATGCATGTTGCCTACTTTTTCTCCTCTAGCCTTTAGCATGTGGTTATTTTAAGTTCCCTTGTCTGAGAATTCTAACATCAGTGTCATTTCTGAAACTGGTATCTATACTGCTTTATCTCTAGACAGTGTTCTTTCTTACTCATATGTCTTGTAAATTTTGTTAAATTCTGGTGGTTATCCTGTGCTACAATAAAATTGCAGCAACTGAGGCAAACAGTATTTATTCCTGAAATGAATACTTCATTTGCCTTACTATTATTTTGATGATTTAAACCAATTTAGTTAGGAGTAGATTCAAACTTGAGCTTTGTTATTGTTGAATTTACTTTCTGTTATGGACTGTTTGTGTCCCTGTAAATTCATATGTTGAAATGTTGAAGCCCCTCTGTCCTTCCCATAGATTTTTTTTTAAATGGTACTAGGTACTGAACTCAGGGCCTTTGAATTGAGCTACATCCCCAGCCCTTTTTATTTTTATTTATTAAGTCACTAAGTTGCCCAGATGGGCTCCAATTTGTAATCTTCCTGCACCATCTTCCCAGATTGCAGGGTTTACAGGCTGCACCACCATGCCTAACTGAAAATAGGGCTTTCATGGAGGTAATAAGGTTAAAAGAGGTCATTAAAGATAGAGTCCTGATCTCATAGGACTGTCATCAGAGGAGACACTGGAGAGCTGCTCTCTCTTTCAGCATTATTAGAATACAGTGCGAAGGTGACCTACAAGCTAAGAAGAGTCCTCACCAGGAACTGATCTGGCAGCACCTTGATCTGAGTCTTCTACCCTTCAGAACTGTTGGAAATAAATTTCTGCTATTGAAATTGACCACTTTGTGGCATTTTGTTAGGGCAACCCAAAGTGACTCATACACCTCCAGTGCACCATGGATTTAAAATTCCTCTGGTTTCACCTCATGGTTAAGGTGGAGCTGACATGCCAGAGGATTTTTCTCAATACTTCTGTTTAACTCACTGCTTTATGTCTTTTCATACACACATGCCTTGGTGATAGTTTTCTCCTTGTTTGTACCCCTCCCCCTAGTGGGTGTAGATTACTATTGGTTTTTACCTGGTGATTGCCAGCTTAATGCTAGGTGGTAGGGTTTTTCTCTGTTGCTCTAGTCCAGCTTCGGTGTAAGGCAGGCCTGTGATCCTGAGTCTTGGAGAAAGGGGCTTATTCAGGATCCTTCCCTTCCTGTGGGAGTCAATTTTTGTTTTGTGTCTTTTATCAGGTCTTTTTTAATGAGAGTTTTAGGAGACCTTTGAAGTCAGGATCTAGTATAGTTTTATATTTCACTTCTACCCCTGAACCTCAGCCTCCTAGAGTTAGAGGATATTTTGTTTTTTAAACTGTTTTGCAATCACAGTGGATCTTCACCTGTACCTCAGGGATCACATGGTTTGCTGTCTTTACTTACCCCATTTGTTTCACAAGGGGAAACGGTCTTTTTTTCTTGGAAGTGGTATTTTCATTCCTCTTAGTACCTTTGAGGGTAACTTTCTGGATTTCTGTCTTGTCCCAGTGTTTTTCTTTAAAGCCTAGAAGAGAGGCCCCTAGAGAAGATGGTGCAAGTGTTTACAACACCTAGCTAGGAGTTGGTGCCCTCAGCCTGTCCTACACTTGACTTGTATTCATTTCTGTAAAATTTTAGCTGAATTGTTAACCTCCTTGTAAGGTGGTCCCATCTTTCCATGCTTTTCCACAGGTGAGCCAGTATTCCCATCTGCTTTTTCAGTAGTGTATATCTTTTCTTAGATTTTTTGCTTGTTGTCAAATTAATTTTTAATGAAATCAAGAAAAGATGTTGTGGATTATCTGGATTTTTTTTATCTTTTAGGTGGGAGCAGTACTCTTTGTAATTTTCTGTATCCTAGGTCCAAAGTGGAAGCCTGAAAAATTGTTTCTGATGCATTCTCTTTCTACCTTTAGATACTGCAACTACGTATTTGTTAAAATGCTTGATATTATGAAAAAAAAGTGCTGATACTACCCAGGGATTTCTAATGCTCTGTTCGGTTTTTCTTTTTAGAAACTCTTTGCTTCAATTTACATATTTGGTATTCACCTTAATATTCATTGCTGTTTAATGTTTGTCACTCTTTTGTGATTGCTTGTTTGTTGGCTTTGTCCTACAATTAAAGTTTCAGATATTCTTTTCAGTTCTAGAATTTCCCTTTTTAGTCTCTATTTCTCTCCTAAAATGCCTCATGCCTTCAGCATTTTCTTTTTTTTTCTCGTAATTTCCTTAGTATATTCAGGATTTTCATTTCAATATCCTTGTTTCATTTGGTCACCTGTGTCTTACCTTTTAATTATTACATTTTCTCTTGATTATGCATCACATTTTCTTGATATTTTTAATATATCATAATTTTGTATTTAAGGCATTTTATTTAAAGAACATTGGTAAGTGAGGACTACTATATTTTTTGTTTTTTGTTTTTGGTACCAGGGATTGAACTTGGGTCCTTGCACTTGTGCAGCAGGCTGTGAAACCACTGAGCTACGTCCCTGGCCCTTGGACTACTATTTTTTTTTTTTCTTTCTTCATAGAGTACCTGCCTGTTTTAGTTACTTTCTCCTTGCTGGGACAAAATACCCAACACCTACAAGTTAAAGGAGGAAAGGTTTATTTTGGCTCAGTTTGTAGAGGTTTCAGTCTACTCAGCTGACTCCCAAGTGACGGCAGCACGGCAGAGGAGCAGTTCATAGCTTGACAGGTAGGAGGCAGCAAGACTTCCTTCTTTCCCTTATACTATCCAGACTACAAGCCTATTGGTTGGTACCAGCCATATCTGGGATGGGTCTTCCCTCTTCAGAAATCCTGTCCTCTGCAGCTGTGCTCAACCAATCAGTAGGCTAAGCCAGTATCACACACCCAGGATCCAGTATCACACATCCATGATCCAGTCACTCCCTAAAGCCCCACTTATGAGTGCATAAGGCTTTGTGGGGGACATCTAGATAAAAGCCATAACAATATACTTCCTCTGTTGTATAAGGGGCTGATAAGTATTTCCTCCCAGGGTTTAGCTGAACTGGTGCTGCACTGCAGTCTTAAGATTTAGTTCATCTGTTACTTGTTCAACTTTCTAAAATGCTTCCTTTTTAATCTTGACAGGTTTTGTTTGTTTGTTTGTTTTGTTTTTTGCCATACTGGGATTGAACTCAGGACCTTTGAGCTGGGTGTGGGTGAGGATTTAGCTTCAGTTTCAGATACTATTGTTTTACTTTGGATCTTGGAATTTGCTCACTCTAGAATGCCTGGGATTACCTTCCTCTGTCTCACAAACCTTAAAGGGTTATGTAGTAGAGTGAATAGTGTGGAAGACTTGCTGAACGAAACAGCTTATTTTTGTGTTGGGACTGTTAAAATCCCTAATTCATCCTTCCACACTGTTATCTACAGCTTGAGGAGCTTCTACTTGCCTGATAAAATCTATTTTTCTAATGGGAAACTCACCTCTATCTAGAACAGGTACTGGCCTCAATGTGGGGAAGTAGCTGTGGTTCTCTAAGAATACCCCATAATTTCACTGTGGAATTCAAATTGTTCATCTGTCATTCTTTGTTAGTCCTATAGGAAATGTCCTAACCACAGGAATACAGGCTTTGTTCTGAATCCCAATCTTCAGAAACAAAATCTCTCTTCTGTAATCTTTAGTTGCATTATATAATATTCTTGACATCCCCAAATGTTTTGACTGTTTACCAACTAATCTTATTCATGAGTATTAATATTTACCTTTCTTCTATTCTATGTTTAGGTCTTAAACTTTTTTTTTTTTGGTACTGGGGATCGAACTCAGGTCCTTGTGCTTGCGCAGCAGGCGGTGATAGGTCTTAAACTTGATGCTCTCTTTCTTAAATTGAGACATTTTGCTTTGCTTTTGTTGATTAAATTCTACATTGTTGCCATAATTAAAAATCCCTGACATGTGTACAAAGAAATAGAAACTCAAATGGAATATTTTATCAAAATTCTAAATAAATTTATTTGAGCTGTATTCAGTTTTAGCTAGCATGATTTTTGTGAAATCTGGTTACATGAAAATTTAAGATTTAAATTTGGAAATGAGAATTTAGGGTTACAGGGCTAAAGCTTGTTAGTATTGGTATATACAAGATGAAGTTTGAAAAGATTCCCCCTGAATGGAGGCTTTATAAAAATGTACCTCCTTTCTACTACATGTTTGGTGTCTGATTTCAGCCCTCACTTTTCCTGGTGGCTGGATAATTCATGTACTTTTTATACAGCTGCACACATGATTCATCTGAATCAGGAAATTTTTTTAGTTGTTTTCTTATAACAGATAAGAGAGACTTAACATTACCTAGTAGAAAATTCATACGTAGCCACTGTTAGCACATATTTGTTTTCTGGTTATGAAAGTGGGATCCATTTGTGCTATAGCTTTAACTTGTTTCTTTTTTAACCAGAACTTAGCATCTCACAGAAAGTCTGTTACTGAGGAATTTCTACAAAAATTGGCACATATGTTGTATTTATTAGAAAGTCTGAGGGGGCCATCAGGGAGTAGTGGTCGGAGACAATAAAGCTGTGTGATTTACAGTTTGTGTTCTGATGCTTTGCATATATTAAGTACTAAAACATGTTGGTTGAATGTTAAAATTTCTGAAATAAAAACCCTTAAATTATGAAACTACTTCATATGGTCCTTCAGGAGCAAATCTATCTTGTGAAACAAAGTTCATTGTAATTAAAGCATTAAATGTCTAATTTCTGTCCCATAGGAATACTGCAACATCCAGATGGCACAGTGTTGAAACAGTTACAGCCACCTCCGAGGGGCCCCAGAGAGCTGGAATTTTATAATATGGTAAGTAAGGTAAGATTTGTTTTGTTGTATTCAGGGTGTTTTTCAGAGTTCTCTGGTGGTGACTCACAGTAAGAAATATATTTGACAGCATGTCCTAGTTCACGGTGTATAATGGAAACAAAAGCTTCATGACAGTGTTTATCTTTTACTATATGTGATGTAGCCTAGTATTTTCTGTTCTACTCATTTCTTAAAGAGTCTTATTCTGAGTCACCAAATTGATTTCAATCAATGGGTTGTGACCCACAATTTGAAAAACACTTAGCTGACAGTGTTTGTAATTCTCAGAAATGCTAAATTAAATAAGTGTTTTTACTGCAGAATTCCTTGGTATTAAATGTGCTAACTTGCATGGTGAATCTCCACAGGGGAAGGCATACTTAATATCTAATTAACCATGTGAGTGGGAATATTTTTATTTTAGTGTATTCACAATGTTGTGTGACTACCACCTGTATCTAATTCCAAAACATTTTCATTACTCAAAAGAAAATCTTTGGGCAAGAGATGTTTGGCGGTAAAGCCCTTGAGTTGCATGTTAGAGGCCTTGGATTCTGTCCGCAGCATTGTAGCACCAGGTTGAGAGGGGTGGGTGACAAAAACAAATTTATAGCCAGATGTAGTGGTACACACTTACAGTTCCAGCTCCTTGAGAGGCTGAAGCAGGAGGAAGGAATGCAAGTTTGAAGCTAGCCTTGGCAATTTAACAAGACCCTTTTTCAAAATAAAAATTAGAAAAAGGGCTGGGGATGTAGCTCAGTGAGAGAGTGCTTGTCCAGTATACATGAGGCCTTGGGTTCAATTCCCAGTATGGGAGGTGGTGGGAGAAGAAAACGTCTACCTTTTATCTGTAAGCCACGAAGCTGCCTTACTCTTCCTCAGCTGCTGTCAGTCACTGATCTGCACTCTTTGGACTGGCCTATTCACAGCAGTGTTACCGGGTTCTGAGGTTCTGGGGTCTTCTGCTCATTTTTGGTTGTTGTTGTTTTTGTACGGGGGATTGAACTTAGGTTCTTGCAGGGCAGGCGGCAGAACCACTGAGCTAAATCCCCGGGCCTTCTGCTCATTTTTTAATAGAGCTGTATTTTAAAAATTTAGGGCCAGGGATTTAGCTCAGTGGTTCCACTGCCACCTGCCTCCCAAGTGCAAGGTCCCAAGTTTAATCCCCGGTACCAAAAAAAATAAATATTTTTTAAAAATTTACATAACATTATTTACATATTCTAGGTACAACTCCTTATCAGATTATGATTTGCAAATATTTTCTGCCATTTTGCAGGTTGTCTTTTCACTTTCTGGATAGTGATCTTTGAAGTACAAACTTGAATTTTGATAAAGTCCAAATTATTTTTTCTTCTGTTGCTGTGCTTTTGATGTAATATCTAAGAAAGTAGTGTCTAATTCAAGTTCATTAATGTTTATACTTATTTTTTCTTTCAAGTGTTTTACAGCTTTAGCTGTTACTTTTTGATCTTTTATCTATTTTTGTGAAGGGACGAGGAAGGTATCCAGTGTCATCCTTTTGCATATTGATGGATATCCAGTCACCACAACACTTATTTGTTGAAGTGACTGTACTTTCTGCATTGAATTGTTTTAGTGGATTTGTCAAAAGTCTATACATGTAAGAGAAATGTTTAAAGGAACTGTTCAGCATTGCAAGTTAGGAAGGGTGAATTTGAAATTGAGAGGCAGTAAATTGATTACTGGTTCAGAATGGCTTAAAGGCTGTGAATTTCATTGATCAAAATGTCTGCCCATACTTTATTTATTTTTTCTTTTTTGGCACTGGGGATCGAACTCGGGACCTTGCACTTTCGAGGCAGGCGCCAGAACCACTGAGCTGAATCCCTGGCCCTGTCCATACTTTATTGATTACTGTAACTATGTAATAAATCTTGGGGAATATGAATCCACCAGCTTTGTTCTTTGTGAAAATTGTCTTAGCTATTTTGGTTTTTTTTTTGTATTTCAGTTTGCATTTTAGGATCAGCTTGTCAGTTTCTACCAAAAGCCTGTTGGAATTTTTTTTAATGAACTCCTGTAGATCAGGGTGAAAAGTTTTGACATTATGTTTTTATCCTTTATTCTTTTAATATTATGTATTATGCTGACTGATTTTATGAGATGCACCAGCTTTTTATCCTGGAAATAAATTATACTTGGTCAAGGTGTATCCATTTTTCTAGAACAGTGGATTTGGTTTGTTAGTATTTTGTTAAGGCATTCATAAGGGATATTGATCTGCACTTTTCTTAAGGTGTTGTATGTGATTTTTTTAAAGCTTATATCTAACTTGTAAACTGAGTTTGAAACAGCAGATAATACTAGAGTAACGTGAAAACTCTTTATTGGTATGGTGGTACACTATAAACCACTCTGCTAGTTACCAATTTATTGCCCTTTAGTTCCAAATTCTCGGCTTGTTAACTCTGACAGTAAGCTTAATTTCTTTAAACATTTCTCCTTTATTGTGAGGATAATGTTAAACATTCTTGGTACAGAGCATTGGAGAGACATTGTAAGAGGAAGGGGCTTTCTGCTGTCTCATTGGTCAGCAGTGCAGGTGACTGGTTCCTTGCCACAGGCATATGTCTGGAAATACAGATCCTCAGAAACCTCAGAGCCCTATCCTAGCCTGGTGATCATCATCTTATGGCCTTTCCAACATGAAGCGCCTCCTCTATAAACTGGTACCCTGACTCCTTCACATTCATTTCCTGTTTATGTTTGTCTCCTGTTGCCACTGTAAGATGGGTATTAGGCCTCCTGCCTACTGTGATACCCCAACTCCCCATGTGTGCCCACATGCCGAGCCATTGGCTATCCTACTTGTACAGTTGCTTTGTGCATGTTCAATTGTGACCAGCTCTGGGTTGGATAACCAAGTGAACTTTTCTGCCAGCCAGTAGGCTTCAATTATGCCTTCTCCATTGAGGTCTGCTGAGGAAACAGGCTCACTCCCCAGATTTGTCCTTCCCAAGATACTCTCTCATCCACTGTAGGTACCTTAGGGAATTAATTCTCTTTACATCTTCTAATTACTCTTTTATTAGTGCTTAATAATTCTTTATATTAAATGTCCATTGCTTAAATCATTGTGTGGTTTCTTGCCCGTTATGGCCCTTGGACTGATGCATATTCTCCTAAGAGAAAAGTTATCTCTTCATATGCAGTTGTACAATTTATGGATTGCCTCTTATGCATTCCAGAACACTTTATAATTTTTCAGTACTCTATAATTTAAACTTGTCGTGGTGTATAAAAATGTACTTAAGTAGAAAACTCAAATACTTTTTAAAGTGTTGTGCTTAAACTACATTTATGCTATAAAGGTGATATTTATTAATAAATGTTTAGGCATTGCATTAATCTAAGATGTAATCTTCCAAGCTAATACTTATGGTTCCTGAACACATAATCAATGAAATTTATTACTGTCTATGTGTTAGTTTGTCCCAGTTTCTGTGGGGTATATTGTATGGCTTTAAAATTAGTTGGTATGTTTGATTTCTCCTGTGTATTATTTTAGTTTGTGAGTCTATAATTAAATTATACTCATTCACTGTTTCCTTTTGGATTATAGATTTTGTTTTTGTATTGTACTTGGACTGAGTACTATATATGTGAAAGCATGGTGATAATTTTTTCCATTGGAAGTTCTTTCATCATTCCTATATTAAATATCTTGCCAGTGTCTTTTACCTCATGGAAGTGCCACCTAACAGAAAAAGACATCATAAATTTAATCAATTGTACTGAAAGGGATGGGTTGGGTATATTCATTTGCCAGGGCTCCCAAAACAAAGTAGCACACATTGGTTGGCTTAACCACTGAAATTTATTTTTTCACAGTTCTAGTGGTTAGAATATGTCAGGATGTTGTTAGGGTTGGTTTCTTTTTTTTTTTGGTACTGGGGATTGAACTCGGGTCCTTGCGCTTGCGCAGCAGTTGGTGAAACCACTGAGCTAAATCCCCGGCAAGGGTTGGTTTCTTTTGAGAGCATCTCTCCTTGGCTTGTAGATAGCTATTTTCTCTCTTCTCATGGTCTTCTCTCTATTTGTACTTATGTCCTAATCTCTTACTCTTTTTTTTTTCCTTCTTTTTTTTTTTTTGGTACTGGGGATTGAACTCAGGACCTTGTGCTTGGGAGGCAGGCAGCGGGACCACTGAACTAAATCCCAGGCCCCTAATCTCTTATTCTTAAAGATCATCAGCATATCAGATTATGGCTCTGATAAACTCATTTAATCTTCATTACCTCTTTAAAGACTTATCTCCAGCTAGGTGTGGTGGCATACTCTTGGAAGCCAAGGCCGGAAGATGGCAAGTTTGAGCCTAACTTGGGCAATTTAATAATTTAGAGAAAGCCTGTCTCAAAAAAAAAAAAAAAAAATTAAAGGGCTAGGGATGTAGTTCAAGGGAAAGGCCCTGGGTTCAGTCCCCAATTCTAGAAAACAACTACAAAACGCAGCTATCTCCAAATATATAATTCAGCCCTTAACAGTGGGTTGTATTCCTAAAAAGTGAAGGTTTGTTTTCTTTCTTGTTGTGGTTAGTGTTGGTTGTGATGCTGGAACATAGCCTTACACAGATTCATGTGGAAAGTGCCATGATACTAGATCATAGGCTTTATGTAGAATTATACAGACTGATGTTCTAATTTTAATTCCACCATTTAGATGTCTGATTGTGGACCATGAGTGATTTTCTCCAAGGTTTATAATCCCATGGAAATGTTTATAAGTTCTAGTGAGATTTAGATGGCATGTTGTGATCCTTAGATAATGATGCTACATTCTCATTTTGCTTAGTACACAGCATTTTTCAGGGCTGTTTTTGTGTAGAGACTTTTTTTCCTTGACTTTTCCTTTCATATTTGAAACTTAGTTTCTGAGAAAATAAAATTTTAACTATAGTATAGATGTCCTAGGATGATTGTTGTAATGAGATTTTTACCTGTTTAGGAATGCTTATGAGTAATTTTGCAGTTTAGACT